CAATATGAAAGACGAGTGGAAAGTTGGTTAATAACGGAAATGGGAGGAAATGCAATTTTCAATCTTGAGTAGTTGATTGAGGCATCGGTTCCTGATATTTCTTTAATTAACATCTTATTTCTTATACGACTACATCGTCAGTCATCAACATCACCAGTAACTGTAATGTTATCTTATGAATGAACTGATTATTAGCTTAATTAAGATACATCTGAATAATTGAATGGACGGATGTGTACAATAAGAGGTCATATATTCATCCAACAGAATGGAATGTAATATGGGCTAGGCGCCGTTGTGTCGGGATATCTGTGTGGCTTGACTGTGAAGAAACGCACCACAATGATCAATGTACAAGGAAGTACAATTCTTGTATCAAGAATTGATATGATTAATGCCATTTGACAGTTATCAACTGCCAAACAAAACAATAAACCAATAGAAATAGAATACGAAACTTACAATGCATTGTCACAGTAAATGAAATAAAAGGAAATGGGTTTTTAGGCCGTATTTTTCTGCAAAAGCTGGGCTAATGAAGACGTCGCTTACTATGAGGAAAATTGTCAGACATTGGTGTTACCGTACGCATACGTTTGTCAGGCCCCTTGACATTCACGGCGGACAAGCGGACACCAGCTTGGGAATTCACACATGAACGAAAGAACTCCGGTAAAAAGAGTTCAGCCGAATATCAGAATAGACACAAACAAGTATTATCAAATGTTCCCAAACGGGAAGAGAATTTTCTCTTGTTCACGGCATCCGTCTGACAATCACTGGACAGCATTTAGGAAGGCAACAATGTCCAGACGAAATGTGGGATGCATAGAGCACATAGAAAGTAATGTACATGAAAGGAGCCGTTTCATATATGTTAGTGAATAAAACTTATTTATTCTGTGTGAAGGTGTCTTAAAAACTGTAATTATTTTGGTATTCCTTTTGAAGAAATAAAATCGTTTTGCCATAAGTGCGTGCGTGGATAACCGTGTCTTCATCACTCATGCAACTGAAGAATGAAATTCCCTAAAAAGATACGCCAACTGCTCAATAATTTAATTCTAAACTTCTGGACAAGATAAACAAGCTATTTCTGGACATGATATGTTTACTGTAACCGACTTTACGGTTTCCTATGAAATGTGGGACAGCCCTTGTCCAATGAATATTTAAAAATATTCTAAAGAATAAAAACTTATAAAATAAGATCTTATTTCCATTAACATTTGATTACAGATTTAGAAAAAAAGGGCCCCCATTCAAATAGATATATATGGACACATATTATTAGTGCTTCCATACCCTAATATTCACTTTCCTATGAATTAAAAAATGCAAAATTAAATTACATTTGTTCAATGCAGTACAATCCGCAGATAATAAAATGGACTACAAAATTACCAATGTACGCCACTTCATTCTGTAAAACTATTTCATTAATAACTGTGGAATGTTCCAGAACTTCGATTTTGTCTTGCTAACTAACAACATAAGCAACCACTTGATATGTTTATACGATTATTCTAAATATCGTCAAATAGATCTCTTTGATAACAACAAAACATCTCTTAAATTAAAAGCACTTTAGTTTTAACCTTTAAGAGATGTCTGCGTTGTCATTCTTCTATAGATATAAGCACCTACTTATCAATAATGTTATTGTTTCGTTAAACATTATTAAAGGTTTTCTATTAGCTTAAGTTATACAGTCCTTAAAGTAACTGTGCGTGATTTACGTTTTTCGGAAAATGTCAAATTCGCCCGGCTTTATCCACGCTAATAATACTCTGATTTAACATTTAATTATGAAAATAATATCAAAATTATCAATGCTATTTAATCTCTCTGTTTGGATTCAGTAGTATTCAAATCAGGTTAGAGTCTTCAAGTTGCATAGTCGCCATTAGGCTTCTGTACAGGTGTATGTGTTGGATGTTTTGTTGTCGTTATCTTAGACATGCCTGGACATTGTTACCTGTATAAAGCGATTATTATAGGGAAATGATGTCTATGAGACCGTCATCGTTGAGTAATTAGTTTTATTCATGTCAGTAATCAGTTTAATTAATTGTAATAATTAGTTGAATGACATCAAGATAAAGCACGTGTAGTAAATAATAAACAATATTTTAACATTGTTTTGGAACTAAAGAAGAATGCTATTTTATGAAGATCCCATGCTGCGAATTTTGACGAAACCTATTTCGAAATTACATGTATACACAGTTCTTAGATCGCGTTTTAAAACTGACATAGAGGTGAATTGTACACTATGTGTAACACCTAGCCATTCCGCCATTATGTCCGCGTAAATGGGATAATAGAATTGGCGTTCCAATCTACTTTTTTTTTACTATTATTATTTTCTAAAGGATCTTTTACGCTTACTGCAGTCCCATCACAAAATTTTCCCAGTCTGTTCCGTGGGTTTTACTCATGATAAATGGAAACTGTGGCTTGAGATATTCCACGCCGATATGCTAGTTTAATGATCTGACTAGTCAACCATCACAACCTTAATGAAGAACGAGCGTAGGAAATTAAAGCCTATCAACTGCGGAATGTGTTAACAGACAAAATTACTTCCACCAAGATATGATTTGAATATCGTTGAAATACCACCTGAATAAAGAAATGGTCAGAAAATGAAATGCAGATACTAAACAATTTTCTATCCCAATACATAAACATGATAAAATTAAAATAACCTATCGATGTTGCTTTTTGGGTATAGATCAGATCTATGTTTGGAATGAATGAATGAATTAAATGATATTTAACGTTAAACGTTTCTGTTCCAACCGGGCAATGAAGACGGGGGCAGATGTATGGAATGAATGAAATGAGATTTAACGCCATACGTTTCTGTCCCAATCGGGCTAATGAAGACGAGGCCCATGTATGGAATGAATGAAATGAGATTTAACGTCATACGTTTCTGTCCCAATCGGGCAATAAAGACGCGCCCATGTATGGAATGAATGAAATGAAATGAAATGGAACGTCATACGTTTCTGTTCCAATCTGGCTAATGATTAAACATAAGAATTCTTTAAAAAGGCTTTATCACTTCAACAAAAACAAAATGTACTGGTAGTTAATTCTATATCATATTAAAATTGTCATATTAATTCAAGCAGTGATCTATATTTTACTGTAAATAGTTTTAGATGAGTGTGCTTCGAACTTCTTGGAAACCGCAATGAAATGTATAAGATTCGTAAATTGAATTTTAAAAACTCTATATATCAGTATATGGATTGTCAGTCAGTTTTGTCTCCAATTTCACATACAATATAAGATGAACGTGGGCGACTGAACTAGATATTGCTATCAAGTAATACAAAACTAAAACTCATGAAACCCAGATCGGTGACAATACCTAAAGTGAGTGTGTATATCTTTAATTTTATTTGGTCAAAAACAACCTAAGGGATAAAGTATTATTACTGCCATCCGAGTTTAAGGTCTAATTTGATCCAAAATTAGATTCGTTGAAGCAAGTACGGACGTTTCTAAACGAAAACTTTGTTATTTGCCGTTAACGAAATGAAATGAAATGGGGTTTAACGGCCTACTATTCTGTACCGACTGGGCTAATGAAGACGGCGGGCACATGCCATATAGTGTGATATGGGAGAAATTTTGCCCGGATAGCGGCAGTACGGCCTACTCTTATTTCAAATTCCAGAGGTTCTTTTATGTACACGCTAATTTCCGGCCCATCCGAACGACTAGAAGTCATTCCTTGCCAAACCCTTCGCCCTGCCCCACTGCTAAGAGAAAACCACACCGAAAAATCACTAGGAACTTTCACGGCCAACACCGGGATTGAACCCGGGACCTCAAGGTTAGCGTGGCTCACTTACTATGTTAAAACACCTGCCTGAACAAACCCAATAAACCAGGGTTCTTAAAACAATTAAGAAAAACAACATAGTTCTGATCAGCACTTTCAGACATCTGCCAATATATTATCTCAAACATTCTACTAATACAATCTAGAATGGAATGGAATTTTATTTTCTAGTCAACACAATATTTATGTACAATTTGAGAGTAACATATCGTAATTAAAATTTCTATTGTAACGTCTGTGTTGTCTAATCTTGTGTGAAATACAACCTGTCGTGGTTATTGGTGTTAATTACATATCACAGAAACCCTCACCAAACTTTATTTTTAAGCCGTCATTATTTGACACACTCGACAGTTATTTTATGTATCTATTTATGTACCGTAACAAACATGTTCGCATATTTGTTATTTCATTTTTTTGTGATCATGTTTTAAATCGTGTATATTGAACCGAAATGAGGTTTAACGTCCTACTGTTCTGTTCAAACTTAAATTTAAAAAAAAACCCACTGTGCGTCATAAAAATATTTTCACGTTATCTGTTAAACGATATATTTGTAGGAGACGGTTTTATGAAGATGTATTTTAATATAATTATTAACTGATCTTTAATACAAGGTTGGGAGAAAACATTTTAATACTACGGGTTTGTTGTTGGTATGCCCCGAAGTAAACCTTAACGAACTGACAAAAATCCAAACGAACACATTCCCATATATATTTTAAAACCAAAGATTTTCTCGGATTCCCAAGTCTTAATTTTAACGATAAAAATGCTTAGTATGGCTATATCTCGAAATCCATTAGTGCGTATTTGAAACAGGGTCCATGCTAAAGACAAAGTGCATGTAATTATGCAATTTTGTAAATCAGCATTGTATTTGCGTTAAACAACGTGTAGATTCTGGGAAAATTGAGATAATCCAAACATTAAAGATAACTTTTAGCGACATTTTAAATCTTGTTTCAATTTATCAATTTATGATACGCTAGGAACTTTTGTAAACTTTATAAATTTATGAAAAAGTTTCACCAACATATCCTTCATTCAAAGACAATAATATCAGCTGGACAAAAGCATTAGCAAGAATATGATAAAACAAAAAAGTTAAAGAAGTCAGAACTATATAAATTCTTACCTGTTCGTCGGCCGCAAAAGTTAAACAGAGAGTTAAGAGAAAACAAATAAGATTTTCCGTTATGGTCCACATGATGTTTATTAAACTGTTTTTTGTTGTTAACTGGATTGGTGTTCTTGTCTGTCTTTTATAGTGAAGTGCCAACAGTTTCTTAGAAGTTTCCCCGTGTTGCTTCCCAGTTCTCTTAAATTCTCCTCTTGGCCAGGGCTTGTTTGGACCGCACTTGCTTCCACCAATACGAAGAGTTGTCCTTTTATATGGCCCTACCTACTAAGAAGGAATCGATAAGGCTTACTAATCCTATAGACTGAAGAAAGATTCTACCAATAATTGTTCACTGTTAAATTCTTCTATCCACACTAGAGACTTTCCCCATTCTTCCAATTCATATTAATGAAAGATACGAGGAGTTATATCTACGTCATCATTACCAATTGTCAACAGATGACAAACAATAAAGTTTATGTTATATGACACTTCTCTGTTGTAATAATCTACATGCTTGGCTTAGATTCGAATTTCAAACAAATGGAACCAACATCGACGTAAATAGATGATATTACTTTAAGTTTTTGATTTGATTTTCTATCAATTTTAAGTTCGAGTTACCCACATTCCGTTATCATTCATTTATTACAGATTTAATCTAGTCGGTCCGTGATTTTACGTGGTATATTATTAAGAGTTGACATCGGATGACGAAAGGGGTTGGGTGTGTGGCTTCGGTGCCAATTAGTGACACCCATATGAATTGGGCGCAACCATGGTTTGCTCAACGCGCCCATTGAGTTGTTCACATCCGCTTTGAAATAATTAATTTGAATATTCAGAAATTGTATTATTCACAATATATTTATGTATATATATATATAAATTGTGATTTGTTTTTTAAAGGCGTGGAGCTTCTATCACTAGTATTATGTTTTAGGTAGACTGAAACCTGCGATACGACCACAAGGCTTGTTATATATGCAAGTAATCGGCTCGGTAGCTAGGTTTTGAGCAGGCTTGTATGTATAACCCCGTGAGTTTTCTCCGGGTACTTCGGTTTTATCCCACTCCTAAGGACCGATACGGGAAAAAGAATTATTGAAATAAAAATATACAATTCGTTGGTCACAAAATGACCTAGATAGTATCGAGTGAACGTTAAATCACATTTCAATTTATCATCGAAAATGTTTTCTTCAAAGCCAAGGCCAGAGACATCCTCGGTTTCCCCTGTGGTCTCATTTCGTTCTACTCCATTATATATACCGTGGGTTAATCCATATGGTTTCAACGATTTCAAATTATCTGGCCTGGCCTTGATTGTAGCTAGCGTCTAAAAACCAATAAATAAAAAAAAACAGTTTACAAACCATGCTTACTAATAAAAAGGCCGTCGTTTCGCGTTCGTTTTTATAAGGGTAGTTAACCCCATCCATGTCGATTTACTGAATGATTTATGTAAATAATGTATACATTTCGAATCCATTTATATTGTATTATCAAATTTTGTAGTATGTTTTGCTTATTTGAAATATGTATAACATGTATATGTTTGACTTTTGTTATAATTATTACTATTCGCTCTTTGTCTGAAATGTTTCATAAACCATTACCATTCTGTTATGTAAAATTATTACTTAACTTATAATAAACGTATTTGTTTGTAGGTGTGATTGCGTTTTGCCTACGTAAGTTGTGCAGTTCGATCGCCGAAGGTACTCTTGCTGATGCTCGAGTGGTAAAGTTTTGATATTACGCAACCGCCTAAAGATACTATTCTGAATAAAACTCTTGTTAATATGTTGTTATTGTAATTTATTGTTAATAAATACGCCTGAGGAGAATTAGGCTACCTTCTGCCTAAATCCTAACCTTGTCTCTTGAGGGGGAGTCTTTGCCTTTTGCTCACTTGGTGGACCAAGGGCTTCTGGGGACGCCGCTATATCCCTACTTGATGGTCCACGGCCAACGGCACCGTGGACGCGCATCGCTTCGGAGAATGGTCTAGGTTCTCTTCCGCCAGAAAAATATTGGAAAATAGGGTCTGCACCAGAGCAAAGGAACTATGAAAATGACGGAAAATTTCAATTTTGAGACCGAATTTGCGATATTGGCGTATTATGATATTTTGATATGAACATTATAAAAATTTGAAGGAAGGAATACGTTTTTGCCGTACCTTTAAAACTTTATGAGAAAAAGTTGTGTTAATCGTGTGATTCATTATGCGGCGTCTCACCATTTGGGGGAGCGCCTCATATAATACGACATGATTGGGGAGGTGCCCATAAAACCAAGAGACATTGGTTGGGCGCCCCGCCAATCTCGTCGCTGGCGCCCAACCAATGTCACTTGGCTTTATGGGGCGCCCATACTGATATGAACACGTTGGCCGTTGGCTTCGTATTGTCTCTAATGGAAAAGAGGAAGCGCCCGATTTTTTTTCTCCATAGAACGTTAGCTACGGACCCGGGAACTCGTCCCCAGCGCTGCTCATCTTATTCTTACTTCTTGTACTTTGAAGTACAATCGACGTGGCATGATTGCGCATCAACTGACGGATTTTGCTATGTCATCACAGTTCCAAGATGATGAAATGATATGACATCACAGTTCCAAGATGGTAGCACGATATGACATCACAGTTCTATGTTTGCTATGGCATCACAGTTCCAAGGTGGTGGAATGATATGACATCACTGTTCATGTTTGCCATGATATCACAGTTTCAAGATGGTGACATACCAGGCCACCATAGTTCTGTGTACAGTTCGAAGGTGGTGCGTAGGGGGTGGGCAAATGTTTAGCGTGTGTGCGCTGTATCAGGTCTGACATTGAATCAACTGGCGTGGTTTTGATTCCCCGGTTGTACGTGATAAGGAGTAGGGTAGTCTGTCCAAAATCGTGGGTTTTCTCCGGGTCCTCCGGTTTCCTCCCACTGCTAAAGACCCCTACGCGCAAGCGAATTATTGAAATAAAATTTAACCATATGGTAGTCCCGAAATGACCTAGTTTGTGTCGAGTGGACGTTAAACCCCATTTCCCTCTCTCTCTCTCTTGAAGATAGTGGCGATGGCGTCTTGTTCAGTTTCTTGGCAATATTACTCTAGTGCTTGTTTTCTTAAGTGTTAATTTGGGAAGATACACTTAACATATATTCTTACCATATCTACTTTTAGCAGTTGTATAACTTAACATGCTGAAATTTCCGGCTTGTCACTGACAGCTTTTAAGCTATGGCTATTCATCGGGTCAGCTCATTGGAGTCGCGGTGGCTCAGTAAGTAAAACGTTAACTCGCTAACTTGGAGATCCCGTGTTCATTGGGATTTTCCGGTCTGGTTCCTCATTGTCAGTGGTGCAGGACGGAGGACTTGGCAATCGACAACATATATTCGTTCAGATTAGATTTGTTCAACTATATATATATATGACTATATATATATATATATATATATATATATATATATATATATATATATATATATATAGTCATTTCGAGTTGCGCTGCAATGTTACATAACTTGATAAAACAAACTTGATAAGAATCTTCGGTATTCGAAATTAGAACGCTATTTACCCTGAGCCGAAAAATTTACGACAACCCTGAAAATGCTACTGAATGTAATACATTCGATGTTTTCAATATCATTATTATCTTGCATAATTGAATGCTATAATCAGTGACTGCAGTCTGTTGTACTATTTATTGGAGTAATACTATTCTTACAGTAATAGTTGGTGCCGTAAACTTAAAGACTCTTATGTGCTAGGTGGTAGTAATACTATTTTTGAAATAATAGTTGGTGACGTAACGTCTCTTGTGCGAAGCGTTTCGGCATAATATTAATTCGACACATTTAAACATATCTAATGTTTCCGGCTATTCCCTGTGGTCAGCCACCAAAGGGATATGGAATGAGTCAGACAGTTTGGACTAATTTGAAGGTGGAAACTAATTGCTCTACATTGTATCCTGTCAAACACATTACAGTCCTGCGAATATTCATTTTAAAATATCAGCATGCATGTAATTTTATGTCACACTGGGGATGGGATGACACTGGAGCAACACTACATTTGTGTTGTCAATATATGTAACGTTAAAGGAAAATATTGGTGCCAGTCATTATCATATATGTGATAGAACTGGTTAAACACGTTCCAATATTATTTTATCACAGAGATCATATGTGATAATGACTGGCACCAATATTGTCCTTTAAAGGAACATCGGGTAAGATAAGATAAAGAGAAGACAGTTCTCGCTATAATAGTCGTTCGGATGGGACGAAAAACCGAGGTCCCGTTTAGACATTGGCGTGCACGTAAAAGATCCCTTGGCAGTTGGAATTCGATGTAAGAGTAGGCCGTAGCGCCGCTTCCCGGGTAAAATTTCCCTCATAGCACACTGTATGGCGTATGCCCGTCTTCATTAGCCCAGGTTAGGAGCAGAACAGTAGGACGTTAAACCCCATTTCATTTCATTTCATTTTCGTTTGTGTTTAAGCGAGTGTTGCTGATGTCATAATAGCGAGAAGTGCTTAACTTCGAGGTAAAAAATTAAATAAAAATATGTTTTGAAGTGCTGGAAATCCTATATAGCCATCTAACTACTAGTATCTAATTATCTATATATATATTTGTGACTGTCGTTTGTCTGTCTGTCTGTCTGTCTGTTCGGGGTTGGCGGCTACACCAGGTCTTCCCCGAGTCTGAAATTTGGGGTATAGGGGTAGCTCGGACCGGGGAGTAACATAGGCCAGGTGGCGTTAGTCTACCACTTCCGGTTTCGGAGTTATGACCCCCGAGGGAAGCCGGCCTGTTCGGGGTTGGCGGCTACACTAGGTCTGCCCCGAGTCTGAAATTTGGTGTATAGGGGTAGCTTAGACCGGGGAGTAACATAGGCCAGGTGGCGTTAGTCTACCACTTCCGGTTTTGGAGTTATGACACCGGGGCGAAGTCTGTCTGTTCGGGGTTGGCGGCTACATCTACCCCGAGTCTGAAATTTGGGGTATAGGGGTAGCTCGGACCGGGGAGTAACATAGGCAAAGTGGCGTTAGTCTACCACTTCCGGTTTCGGAGTTATGACCCCCGAGCGAAGCCGGTCTGTTCGGGGTTGGCGGCTACACCAGGTCTTCCCCGAGTCTGAAATTTGGGGTATAGGGGTAGCTCGGACCGGGGAGTAACATAGGCCAGGTGGCGTTAGTCTACCACTTCCGGTTTTGGAGTTATGACCCCCAAGCGAAGCCGGTCTG